TCCTGGCAGCTGCCGGACCTGAAGGGGGCACGCCAGGTCGAGCACCCAGGCCTCCATGGAGTTCCAGAGCAACATGCCCTCCATGGAGTCCAGGCTCACCCTCTCTTTCCCCCATTTGCTGGCTAGGTACAGAGCTCAACAATGTAAGAAGCTCGCACCCTGGGGTTAGCGCAACTGGGTTTCCCTTATCTGTTGCCTTTCTTTTTGACTTACCTGGGTTCTGACTTCTTTTAGACCTACCACCAGATTTCTTTCAGTTCACTCTCTGCTTTCTTTTGGTCTGAGGCTCTGTGTCTAGTGGGTCTGTAGACATTTCTCAGGCCCACCTCTGTCATGGTTCAGGCTGATCTGATTTCTTTCAGGAAATTTCTTTCCCTCTCAATGTTTATGAGACATGCTGTCCATTTTTTTCACTCATTTTTTTTTTTCAGACTCATTACCTACCTGCTACTGCCCAAATTCCTTCAGAATGGCTATTTGATTACTATCAGGTCTCCTGCCCAGTTCCTACTGGGTTCTACTGTGTGAGTTCTATTGGACTCACTGTCTGTTGATTCGACCTTAGAGCGATCACCACATTTCTATCAGATCCACCACTTAATCACTATCAATCTCTCTGCCTGATTTCTAAAAGTCATCTACATATTTATGAACAAATAACTGTCCGATTTCTGCCTTCCATTATGCCGGCAACCCCGTTTCCTTCTGTTCTGCTGTCTGAATTCTATTAGGCCCACAGTTTCATTTCCATATGATTTCTCAGCTCCATCTCCCAGTTCCTGTCAGACCCACTGCCTGATTTCTATTAGCTCCTGTGCAATTTCCATTAACTACACCCCATCGAAAATTTTTAAGGAAAATCATATGATTTCTACCAGAGACCTGCTGTCTACTTTCCATCTGCCCACAGCCACATTTCTCTTAACCCTTCCACAATCCCCTTTAGACGATCTGAATTTGGGTAAGATTCACTTCACAGTTTGGAGGAGAATCCCTGCCCAACCTGCACTGAAAATACTGTCTAATCAGACATACTGCACCACTCTTTTCTGCCACTGTCTGATTTCTGGGCGCCTTTTCCTACCTGCCCACCATCTAATGTCTGCCTCTTCTGTAGTATCTGCTCCACCATCTAATTTTGAAATGCTCTACAGCCTGATTTTTGCCTGCTGTGTGGCCCACATCCCTTGGCCATGCTGCCCAGGCCCTCCCACGTTCCCTCCTGGCCGCCGTCACCCCACCTGGGATACGAGGAGCTGCAGGTCATGCTCAAAGGCTCGCAGAGTCCGCTGCATGGCGCTGGCACTGGGTCTGGGCTCAGGCGGGGTGGTCAGGTGGGGCAGTCGCCTCCGCTTCTCCTCAATCTGCCCCTGAAGCTCCCTGGCGTCGCTGAAGAACTTGTGCAGCTCCCGAGAGGCGGCCAGCAGCTGGGCCCGCGTGCCCATTAGCTCCAGCAGCTCAGCCCAGGCCTCATTCAGCCCATCCTTCCACTCAGCCATGGTGGCCGCTGCCGTATGGCCACACTCGATCAGTTCATCCACCATCTGGTTCACGGCTGCCAGCCGCTCCCGTCCTGCTGTGCCGGTCTCGCTGGCGAACTCTGAGAATTTCTCCTGCAGCACCTGCCACCAGGAAGTGGGGGGCACAGCATGGGCACAGGTGTATACACCAGGTCCCTCCAGCCCACCATCTGATGGCAGGTCAGGGTCATAACAGTAATAATAATAAGAGTCATAATAAAACATAACATCTAACACTTATGGAGCACTTTGTAGCAATAATAGTAACAACAATAATAAAAATAATAAGGTGAAATAATAACACTGTGTTAGGCATTGTGTGCCAAGTACTGTCCTAAGTGCCTTATGTTACAGCTATCCCCCTTATCTGGGGTTTCACTTTCCAAAGTGTCCGTTACCTGCAGTCAACTATGGTCCAGAAATATTAAATAGAAAACTCCAGGAGTAAACAACTGATAAGTTTTAAATTGTTGCCATTCTGAGTAGCATGATGCAATCTCAGTCCATCTCGTTCCGTCCTGCCCGGGACGTGAATCTTCCCTTTGTCCAGCCTCTCCGCCCTTGTACACTCCCCGCCTGTAGTCAGTAGCCACTAGGTTCTGAGCTTGACGCTCACGTTATCACCATGCTTGTGTTCAGGTAAGCCTTAGTGTACTTAGCAATGGCCCCAAAGCTCAAGCGTTGTATTGCTGGCAATTTGGAGACGCCAAAGAGAAGCCGCCCAATGCTTCCTTAAGTAAAAAAGTACGTATGTATAGAAAAAACAGAGTATATATAGGGGTTGGTACTATCCGTGGTTTCAGGCATCCACTGGGCTCTTGGAACGTACTCCCCGTGGATGAGGGGGACTACTGCATATTAATTCATTTGGCTTACAGCAGAGCCATGAGGTAAGTGCTATTACTATCCTCGTATTACAGATGGAGAAACGGAGGCCCAGAGGACCTCAGTAGCATACACAGTAGCCTCTGGTATTCTTGTTACTAACCGTGACATGCTCAAAGTCCTGGCCCAGCTCAGGCGAGCCAGCCACCACCTCCTTCTCGGCGATCCAGTGCTCGAGCTCGTCCACCTGGCGGCTGAGCTGGTACAGCCAGTACTGCTGCTCCAGGCCCACCCTGCGCTCCTCGCCCAGCTCCTTGAGCGCCACATACAAGCGGTCCACCTGAGACTGCCGCCGGCTGATCTGCTCGCTGGTGGGGGACAGGGCGGGGCAGAGACGGAGCCCCTGAGGCTGAAAGGACAGAGCTGAGGCCCCCTGCCACCCTCTCAGGGCATGGCTGTCTCCTCTTAACCTTCAGGTAGGGCAGTGCTCCCTGGGACTCCTCCATACAGGACTGTTTTCTGCAAGTGTGGGGAGTCCGTCAACCCAGTACTAGCATCTCAGCACCCGGGGAAAACTGCTTCCTTACGCTCCATAAGCTCCCACCCCTCCCCACAGCCTTTCTGTCTGCGGCCCGGCCCCTGCCCTCCAGTGGCTTGGATGGGGCTCCTGACTGCCTACTTGAGTCCGCAGCCAGTCCTCCTCACCTCCAGGTTTGTGTGGACGGAGGCCTAGCCCTGCGCCCCCTCTCCGATCTCACCCTGGTCCAGGCCTCCCAGATGTGTCTCCTACTCCCGACCTCGGGGAGGGCTCCCGCCTGCCCACCTGTCCGGGTGCCCCAACTCCAGCAGCGCCCGGCACTGGCGCGACAGCTGCGCGATGCTGTCCTCGTAGTTCTCCACGCCCTGCTCCAGCTGCAGGTGCTTCTTGAGCAGCTGCAGGGTGCTCTGCTCGTCCTGTGGGCACACGGCGCCGCGTGAGGCGGCAGCGGCCG